GTCTGTCAGTGCAATTTGGGGAATTTATACTTCTTGTTTGTTTTTTGAGACAAGGTCTTGCTATAAATAGCCCAGCGTGGCCTTGAGCTCTTGGCAATCCTCCTTCCTTAGCCTCTGAATGCTGAGATTACAGGCATGTGCCAGTATGCTCTGTGTAACATACTTTTTAACAATGATAGTTTACATTAATCAATGATTTATTTAGTGGATTCCATCTTAGAAATTAGTCCTTTCTTTCCTTCTGCAAGACACAATGAATATTCACTTACATGAAAAGAAAATCATACTACTTCCTGGGCATCATTTTGTACCTCTGAAGTCTTACCTGTCAGTGATATACTGGGGAGGGGGGGCACAGCGTAACTGCAGGATCTGAGTTTCTCCTTGAAGCAGTGGCCAGAGGTTGCAGCCTTCTTGCTCCCTTCTGTGGGTGCCACTCAGTGGGCACCTCTCTTCTGAAGGTCACAGGCAGAGGCTCGCAGAAAGGATTTCATTGGCCCCTGGGCTTGGTCCCTGAAGCAGCACCTATGCCATGAGAATGCTTCCGTTCCCAAGTGTGTGAAGACCATCACACACCCAGCCACCCGCCCAGCCACTGCTTCTTCACTGCACATGGGGTGCTGGATGCCAGTCTGGCATGAAGGTGAAGAGGCCACTGCCCATTTGTGGGGATTTGCAACCACGATGGCATGGGCATGGGGACATCTGGAAGCACTGCTGCAGGCATAGGATGCAAAGAATGGGCACAAACTGGAACAACTTACTAGTGTGTGGGTGGGTAAGTGCATCAGAACATGACAAGTACAAAATGAGCAAGGGCGGAAGAATTTAAAGTGTGACAGAATTCAAAGTCGGTGGAGGAAAGATGGTGGGATAGTCTAGCTCCCTAAGGTGAACAAGGAACAGAACTGGAACAACACAGGTTTATCCTGAGTCAGCAACAGTCACTCTGTTCAGCTGCTCCAGTATCTCTGTCTTCCTGGTCTTTTCTCTTTCTTCTCAGCACTGGGGACTAACCCACGACCTTCACCTTGTGCTACATTCCCAGCCCATTTTTTTATTTTTTGGAGACCTGATGGGTTCGATGTGTCTGACAAAGAGCTCCTCTCAGACTTGCCCCATCCCACACCTGCTCATAACCAAGTTGAGGGACACTCCATGTTGCCTCCACTTGGAACAAAAGCAGAAAGAGAAAAAAAGAAGTGTTTCAAGTAAGATGGTGGCAGGACTTTAGAGCAGCAGAGAGGAGCTGAGACATGTTAGGCCCCAGTTAGCCATGTTCCAAGTACGGTTCTGGGAAGCCCAGCCTGGAGATCTAAATTTGAGAATCCTGAGGTAATATATAGTGTTTAAAGTCAGTGTCTGTGTGAGATGACCAAAGAAGTGAGTGTAGCTAAAGAGAGAGAACCTGGACCAAAGCCATTCAACAGAGGTTTAGAAGACAGAGCTGAAGAGAAGGAAAAGCTCACACAGGTAGGGAGCCAAGGAAGGGTGGGGCCTTAGAACTCCGAAGTTCTCCAGTGATAGCTGCTGCTGAAAACATGGGGCTAAGATTGACTGTTGGGGTTAAGGTCAGGGAAGCCACTGGTGAAGGTGACAGGAAGCAACTTGGGCAGGATGGAGGAATGCTGGGAAAGCCTGACTGGAAGCCCTGGAAGGACCCCACCAGTGATGGGGAAGGTCAAGGCTGCCTCTTCGTGTTTGTTATGGGTAATGGAATGTAAGACTCAAGTCCACAGCCTGCTCTATTCTCTCAAAGAACTTAATGTCCTGAAACAACATGGTCAGGCATTAGGCAGCACTTTTATCTTTGCCTAACAGATGAATGAATACAAAGCCTGAGTGCAGGAGGATGAGTAACTTCTGTGCCTCAACACAGGAAGATGCGTAACTTGGGCCACGTTACCATGGAGATAGAATTATAAATTATGAGAAAGTGTTCCATTTCACAGGTAGATTTAACATTAATATACTGTCCAACAACCTGAATGGTGGTTCCCATGGGAACCTCACCAGGACACCCATTGGCACCACCCCCCTTTACACAAGGTGTGCCTCTCCACACCATCTGTGGACACATTCCCTGCACCATGTGCAAACACTTTGTGCTGTTCTCCCCACTTCTGTGGACAGTATCTACATGAAGTTCAAGCTGGGGAACAGGAAGATACTGCTTGAAATGGCTAGGTGAGAGGAGCAGTCTCAAAATCCAGCATCGGTTGGAAAGGAAGCAGCATGGGTAGGTGAATATGGAATTCAGCCAACCCTCTACACCTTGGCCAACAACTAGAACTTTGAGGCTGCTTGTGCTTTTGTACACGTGAATACACATAGAAGGTATGAATGAGCTCCCTCTTGTTCGGCTTCCTCACAGAGAAATCTGAACACCCATGCAGCGCTCCAAATCACTGTCGTGTTCATTATGTGACTACTAGACATCTTCCTACATGCAAAGCACTGCACTAACTACTGTACGTGAAACTGATCAAAGACAGATGCTCGTACTTTCAAAGAACCTAACTGTTAGTAGCAAAAATACGTAAGAAATAACTATAAAACAGAAACGGTAAGTTCTACAAAAATAATACTGAACTACTACTATTTCATAAGAGGAAGTGCTTGTTTAGTTTGGCTAATATTTTAAGAAAAGGTGATGCTTAAGAAAATTTGTCTGTGTAGAAATGCAACAAAGATATTTTAGAGGCAACAGTACTGTAGATAGCTGAGCTAGATAGAAATATTACAGGTAGTCAGACAGGCTAGGCCCTGGGAGATAACAAGACAAGACACACTGTAACTGCGAGAGAGATGGATGCTCCTGCTGCTGCCTGATCTAAAGACTAAAGATTCAACAAACGCTTACCTACCTAAAGATAAGCATCCAGGATTGATCATTCACTCGAAGAATCTAGGAAGAGTCACTAACCCAACTGCTACTGGCTAGCTACTGGATAAACTCCTGCTCTGTATTTGTGCCCGCTTGCTACTTTGTTTCTGGATTTAATCAATTTTACCTGAGCAATGGTGCTTGTAATCTCATTGATTGACCATAGTTTTGCCCTATAAAAATGCTTGAAGAGACAGCTTCCTAGGTAACTGCTTGGGTGTTCCTTCTGTCCCTCTCTTGGGCAGAAGCTTTCTTTCCCCAATAAATATTATGCTCTTAACCTCCACTTGCTGCTAAAATTCATTCTTCAGTTTTAGAGAACACGAACTCGTCCCAGGTACCTTTCAGGTCAGGAGTTTCGTTTCATTCCTCTGTACATCAGCATGAATAAACACTGTGACGTGAAACTGCAGTGCACTCATGGAAACAACGAACATCACCCTACAAGTTCCTACGATGCACTTTCTAAATCGACACATAATGCAGTGTGTTAATTATTGAAACTGTCCTAACAATTTGGTTTGAAACTGTCTCATTGCTATTTCTCAATAAAATTATGGAAAAAAAATGGAAATCTTGAAACAGTTTAAAATATCCTAAAATTACCAATATTCCTAATCTCTTTAAACCTTTCTGCATTTTTTTTGCCATCATCAGTGCTATGAAATTTTTAAATAAATGAAAGAAAAAAAATCGACAAATACCAATTGTACGATTACTATAACGAGTTAGTCCAAGCAAGTTTTTTCTCTTAATAAAGTTGTGTGGCCAAGGGTGGTGGTGCATGCCTGTAATGAGGCAGAAGGATGCCACCTGAACAACACAGCAAGTTCAGGGGCAGGCCGAACTACATGGCAAGACCGTCCCCCCAAAAAACAAGAAAAAAGTTGTACACGTTTACAAAACTGGACGGTTGCTTGTTTTCTCCAGTACCAGGGATTGTACCCAGGACCTCCCACGCACCCCAGACTTTTAATTTTACAGCGCAGTCACACTAAGTTGCCCAGGCCGGCCCTGAATTTTGTATTTTCTTACCTCAGCCTCTTCAGTGGCCATGTGCCACCAGGCCCAGTGACTTAAGGGTTTTGAAGTCACCTGCATTTTATCTGGACTTTGCCACTGCTAATTGCATGGCACTAAGCGAATCTGAGTCTGTCCCTCACCCCAGAGCGGAGACTATGAAGCCAACCTTGTTGATCTGCGGATTAGGAAATACACGGCGTAGGGTAGGTGCCCAGCAAGAGCCATCACGAAAAGCTGGGGGCAAAGCATAACCCATCTTTCATGCTAAGCTAAAACCCTAGCACTTTGGGGGGCACAACTATGAGGGTTTCGTCTGATTAGCAGAGACTGTTAGGCAATAAGCCGAGTTACTACAAAGGTCCTGCTGAGGCACAATGAAACTACAGCAGCGAACTTCCTCAACTTCAGACTATCATCGCTGATTCTGCGTTCAGTGTTTTTGCTTTTAAAAGACACTCTTCTTTTTGAGACAAAGTCTTCTGGGTAGCCCTGGCGGGCCTGAACCCAGGAGATCCTCCTGCCTCAGCCTCTGGGGTCCTGGGATCGCAGGTGCGGCCCGCCAAGCCCGGCTCCCGGTTAGGGGACTGAGGATCTCGATGGTTGTTAACAATACAAGGCAAATAAACAGATACAACAAAGTCGAATTTTGGGCTTAAATTCTAGAATCATCACGTAGGAAAAACACAAGAGAGGAAATACAGCCTTTGGTAAGATTCTGGAAATTTTGCTCCCCTTACAGCCTGTGAACTTTTACTCCGTGTTGTTATCCCTTCCACAGGGGGCCCTACTGCCTGCCCTCAGGGAGGCGGGAGAAACTCGGGGCAGCCGCCGTGTCCGCGGGTCGCCGCGCCCGCACCTCCTTTCCGTCTTCAGTGGAAGCACAGGCCGCGCGCGGAGGGCCCGCCGCGAGCTACGCAGGGCGCGGACCCAAACAGACTCGTGGGACAGGAGCGCGCGCTCGCCGACGTCATCAGGCAGCGCCGCGCGCCCTGCGATGGTCAGGGGCGGGACAACGCGGGCCGCGGTCCCGCTCGCCCCCTAGCGGCCTCCGTCACGAGCCCCCCCCACTTCCGGCGGCCGGTCGGGGCACGCTCACTTCCGGTGCGGCGCTGGGCTGGGCGAGGGAGGAACCTCCAGGCGGCCGGCCGGCGGTGCGCGGCTGCCCGCGGTCTCCAGCGGCGGCCCCGGCTTCCTACCATGGCCGAGTCCGCCCCGGCCGGGGAGCCCGAGGTCGGTGACCCCACGTGCGTGTTCTGCCGCATCGCGCGGGGACAGGAGGCCGGCACCGAGCTGCTGCACTGCGAGGTGGGTGCGGACCCGTGCGGGGACTGGGCGCGCTCCC